TTTTCTAATCTCTACAACAGCCCTATGAGCCATGTATTTTCAGTAAGTTTGAAATAAAGTACCAGGGAGTTGATTGACTTACTCAAGATCTCATAGCGGTGAGCAAACAGTTGGTACTGCTGGAACTCAGGTCTAACTCCAGTAGTCTCTCTAAGAAAACTATTACTGAGGCCTTACCTTCTGAAGTTAAGGCCAGGATATTTGGTTTTAGACTGAGACAAAATATTTGAAAATGAAACTATACCAGAAACCCTGGGACCTATTGCCACTGCAATTAAATTGCCTTCATTATTAACTTTTTTATGAGTGTTCGGTTTATGGTTCCTTCAATAAATATTAAAATACACAAAAAAGAAAGAGGGTAGGATAACTTCAATTCAAGTTTTGTAAAAAAAAAATTTATTGCTTATGATATCATAATCATCATACTATATTACAGGCACTATTGTTTTTTTAGTCATGTTCTCTCCTCAAGGGGGATAAATTCATGCATTACGTCTAACAAGAAACAAAACATGTAGGGATCATATACGCCAGTATATTAAAATACTACATTGAACCACACAAACTTATGATAAAGTAAGTAGAGGTTATTAAATCAAATGCAACTTGTTGTACGGGGAGTTTTAAGTTTGATTTTACAAAGAGGAAGGCCCCAAAGGGACAAAGCTCATAAATAAAAACAGAATTTAGAAGCAGATACCAGACTAAAACCTCTAAACTCTATGGAGATCATGTTATACTACTGGAAGTCTATATATTTGGATGGCATTTGTTTATTTTGTTATAGAACTGCCTCTATGGGGTTGCGATTTCTGAGGCTCTTCTTATAATTTTGACTAAAGGTCAGCATAAAAAAGCAGCCTCGTGAACCCTGCTTCCACATTTGTTCATTTCATTGTTCAGAACTCCTGCTCTAAAGCTCCAAAGGAAGACTTTCTTTTATATTTTATGCCATCAGGAATTTTGGTCCCTTGAGAACTGATATTTCTGTTCTGATAAACCACCGAAGATGTTTTCCTTTCTTTGCCCCATTGCCAGAAAGTTCAGAAGAACACTCCTGTCCTTTATGATAAGTATATTTGCGTTTTCTTTTCCTTGGATTTTGATTTTTCTATTTCTACTTTATGAGTGAAATCACCGTTTATGTATTTTGCTCTAAGCTGCCTCAGGTCCTTTTTACAAAGAGGCTTGAATATCAAATAAATAAATGAGGAAAATGGACAAACTCTTCCACCACCCAGATGATACATTGCCAACATCTGGATGGTAACTTACTTGAAGCCTTAAGTACCGATGCAGCAGTACCCACTACTGTCCCCCTTTCCAAGAAGCAGAAGCTGCTGAGGGGCCCAGCAGGGAAAGCTGGAAGGAAAGGTGGCAGTGATGCTCTTAGGGAAAATGGCCTAGTTTGGCTCTATGCATCCATCTGTTTATAAGCTCCCTGGTCCACAGAGCCTTTCCAGAACGTGTGGCCTGGGAAATGGTAGGGAAAGGATCCCCATGGGAAATGGCTAAAGCAAGGGCTACTGACTAGAATGATTGCCCTCTCTCTCCACTGAGAGGAAGAAGGCCACCTTTGAGCCTTATTTTCTTTTTCTGCACATGGTGGAGCTCTAAGTAAACCAGTTGCCAACTCATGGCAGCCCCAACTTATGGTGACCCCATGTGTGTCAGAGTAGAACTGTGCTCCATAGGATTTTCAATGGCTGTGATCTTTCAGAAGTAGATATCCAGGCATTTCCTCCGAGGCGCTCTGGGTGGGTTTGAACCTCTAACCTTTCAGTTGGTAGCCAAGTGCATTAACCATTAGCCCACCCAGGACTCCACAGGCTAAGTAAAAGACAGGAAAGAAGAGAGGCCATTTGCAAAAAGAAACACCACAAGGAAGGCATTTTCCCCTACCATGATTTAAGTGTGTTGGAAGTACAATAACACCACCCCATGTATGCATTTATGGGCAATTACATAGGCTGTAAATGCTGTGTGTCCTTCACCCAGGGGAAATGTCTCTTGGTAAAATTTGACTTTCGTAAAGTAATTTTTTTCACAAAATACAAAATAATGTAATACATTGTCTTTATTGTCAGACATTACAGATTGGTTTTACACTTTCCTTTTTTACATACCATGGGAATGAAAGGTAAAATGTGTCCAGCATTTTGCAAACAGTTTTTGTTACACACAAACACACACAATGAATAATAGAAAAGAGAACACAGAAGAATTAAAAGATACGTTGAAATTGGACAGGCTGTGGTTCTAATGGGTCCATGGAAATAATGTGAAACTTTGTAATAATGCTAGAGAATGGGATATATTGTCATACACAACCTGGTACATGCACTTGAAAGCTGCTTTTATTTGGTTTTATTTTATTTTATTGTTTCAGTATGCTGCTCCCTCTGCTGGCTTCTGAATCTGACCACAGGATCAGACACAAGGCTTCAGTCTAGGATATGGCTAGAGTCACAATGCCCCTATTTCCCGAGAAGATGTGTGCAAGGATCTTGTGAAGTCTCAGAGCAGAAAGGTTCTTACTGATAAGACAAAGGCTGAACAGGACCTATTCTTTAGAGATTATTCCCAATCAATGGTAGGGACTCTGCTTGGGGGAAGAACTGAAAAGACAGAACGTGAAGAGTCAGTTACGGAGGACAGTCTTTTCTCTAACGAAATTGAGCACATTTTGCTGAGTGGTGGGGAACAGGGAATAACCATTATGTGATCAGCAAGATGTTTAATTGTCTGATTTTTATAAAAGAAGGTTCCGCATCTTTTCAGTAAAATGGAAACACTATTCAGAATGTGAGAGGATGTAGAAGTTAGCTTCGGAGGACTGTAGGTTTTAAGCTAACATTTTACCTCAGTGTAGCTTTAGTGACTGCGGTGGGTGACTTGTATTCAGTGATCAACAACCCAGAAAAGCATGAGACTGGTTTGAAACTTAGACCCCTGGAGATCTAGAAAGTTCCAAACACATTACAACTTGTTCCCCCTTCTAAAAGATGTAATAACTCTTCTTTTGACGGCAACAGTAGTAACAGTTACAAAAAAATGCTAAATTTTCTATATCTTAATTCAAGCACTACATTGAAAAGGAAGCAAATTAGTATGATTTTTTTCTTTCTTTCCAAACTGAAGCATGAACATACATTAGAGGCAAAAGCAATGAGAAAGACAGCAGGACGGCAGGCCCCTCCATTGTTAGTTAAGACCTGCAGTAGGGAACATAACTTACTCCCTGTTTCAGTTCTTCTTCCTACAGAAAGATTGAATCAATAATAGTTAGATTACCCAGGGTTCCGATAAGAGCATGTACATAGTGTGAAGAAATGGGGGGGGGGGAGGGAAGGGAGGACATCAACATGGGTTTGAGGACAGGTCAGGCCTCTGCCACCTCAGTGACTATAGTTTCAAGTTTATTTAATCTGTATGCGAGACTACAGATCCCCATCTCATTCCTCCTATCTTTCAACATGATCTCTCCCTATTCTGGTGTTAGAATATTCTGATACAATAGGCTGGGCTCAGCTGGGTTAGGTGTAAGCCAAGATGACTACTGGTACATAGACTCCTACCCCATTGCTATCGTGACAGAAGCTGGAGGAACATCAGCAGGTAGCTGTTTTCAAAGCTTCCTGCCATTCTGTGAGGGAAAGATGGGGTCAGTTCTCTTTGTTTGGTATGTTTGAAAAAGGAAGCAGAAGGAGCTTTAGTGGGTCATCAAATGAAATTAAGTGAGAAATAGCAGCAGGTTATTAATTATTTGGTCCCCTCTTACTGTATAGGGCACACAACAAAAAAATGAATTCTATACTTCACATGTCTAATACACTGGAAAAGTAAACTTTGTTCAGTAAAGAAAAAGAATTCCCAACATTGATTGTTAAAGAAGACACGATGGCAGAAAAAGTTGACTAAAGGGGAAAACAGTAAAGACAACAAAAGAAATGTTGCACATGGGATAATGGCACTTAGAACAATGCCTAAGACACAGTAAGTTTTTTAAAAAAATATTTGTTAAATAAATGAATAAGTGAAAGAAAGAAATCAAGAAAGAAGAGAGAGGGAGAAAGAGAGAAACAGTGAAAGAAAGAAATAACAAACACAGTAACAACAAATGATGGTGTGTCAGGGATGTGGGGGAGCCACAGACTGAAAGCCGGGCTGAGCTGCCCCAGGGACTTTCTCTCCATTGCTGTCCTATCAGTGTTCCTTTGGCATGCCTCAGTTGCAATCCATACTGGTTCAAGCTTGCTAACATAAGGCAGGATGTAAGGATGACCACACAGCACTGCCACTTCTACTGGACTGACTGTGGATGTGTCATCATAATTAGTCTATTTTTCACTTGAAATGTAATTTTGTGTATAATGAAGAAGAGAGTAAAGCTTTCTTAAAGGAAGCATGCCATTTCCCGACGAAAATGCTACATTACAGCACTCTACAAAGGACTTCTACAGATTATCTTATTAAACACTCTGCCTATAGAATAGCAAGATCTTCCCTTCAGAGTTTGCGTTTGAAGCCCATGGAAGTCCTGTGACTTGCTGCTAAAGTCACACAGATGAGCTAAGATATAATAGAGCTATTCCTCTTAATAAAACGGTTGTCACCAAGATTATTTAATGGCTGTATCTTAATTTTCTGAATTAGACATTAGCCTCTGTTCAATCTAGTCAGAACTGATGAAAACTATTAAATGTAAAGTATTTCTAAATAAATTCAGTTTTATTATTTTTATGGGCATAAGGCAGGAAGAAGTTGCCCCATGAAGGTCCTCAGCAGTGTGGCTCCAGGAAACGGGTAAGAATGAGTTCTACAACTGACTGCTACCTTTTCGTGTGTCTAAGAAACGGTTCTGTATCTGAGTTTGGAACAACATTTTGGGGAAAATGACACACAGTAACTGGAAAAACCATTGCACATTATGTGCAAAAACATTTTACAGATGCCACACTCAAAGGTCTAAGAAACATGTATGTGAAATGCCTTACCTTTAGTAGCTTCATGAGCCCTTCTAACTGGACCATTAGCTCTCTCCGGCTCTCCTGGAGAGCAGACATCCTCTGTTCCAGCTCATCCTTGCGCTGTCTAAGAAAGAAGCAACTGTCATCAGAAACAGCATTCAATTCACGGGGCTAATCACAGTTCCCACTCCTATGGGACTACTTGATTACCAGAAAAAAGGCCACCTCTGAGTCTTTGACAGGGTCAACAGGTAGGAGGAACTGCTGTCAGATGAGTGAACAATTGTAGCTTGAGGTGTACTTTTGTTAGAAGATTTAAATCCTTTTAGACATTTTCCCTCTTCTACCCGAAGCGAGGATGAAGACACTTCCTGGTTCACTTTGGACACATCATCAGGAAAGATCAATCACTAGAGAAGGATATCATGTTCACTAAAGTGGAGGGTCAGCAAAAATGAGGAAAACCCTCCAAGAGATGGATTGACATGGTGGCTGCCAACAGTGGGCTCAAACATACGAAGACTGTGAGGATGGCGCAGGACTGGGCAATGTTTCGTTTTGTTATACATAAGGTCGCCATGAGTTGGAGCTGACTCTGCGGCAACTAACAACAACAACCGTGAATTAATTAATCATTCAGTGAAATATTTTCTAGACGCTTGCTATATAGTGGGTCCCGTGCAGTGCCATGGATTTCCTTGAGACAACAAACAAAAACCAAACTGTCACTCAAAAAGGCCAATGCTACAGATCCTCCAAATCCAAGGACCCTTTTATAAATCTCACAGAAAATACCTATTACCTTAGTATTTGGTAATCTGATTTAGAAAAATAAATTTTAAATCTCTTCCATCCTTAGTATGCAATGTGGTGCCTTTCTGAGGTGAAATACTAACAATACATAGTTATTGCAGTCAATCTAAATTTTTTGGTTTGGGTTTGGGTTCATAAAACGAAGTTAGAATAAAGAAGTTTCTCTACAATTGTTCTACAACTGAAAATGATCTACAAGGATTTGTGTCTCATTTTGTTTAGCAAAACTTCTATTTAACTGTCGGCAAGAATGGAAACCACTAAGGATGCTTGATAATCTATCATTTATATAGACAGTAAGGGGTACTAAAATTTTCTTTAAATGGGGAAAAATGAAACACAATGGAGAAGGATATTAATAGCTCACATTTGTGAAATGTATTATACTTTTCAAAGCAATTTCAAATACATTATTTTATGACCATTAGTGAATACGTAATATATTCATTTTTTGCATGCCCCCAAGTCATCTGAGTTTGAAATATCAGAAGTTATATTCTAAAAATGTGTAGATGCTTTAACTATGTATATATTAATGTATGAGTATATATACCTAGTCTCAATTGCATAGACACAATATTAAGTGGAGCTATAGCGGGGACTCTGAAATGGAAAACTGACAATATAAAGATGTCACACTGAATTAGGTCAATGACATCGAACTGAAAGATATTTTGTGGGAGGACAGCTTAGGAATATAAATGAACTATTTCTGATCTGCTTTCATATAGGCTTTCTCTATAAAGAATTATGAGTTTTTAATTTATAAATACATCAACTGTTTTGAATATAGTCATATTTTTAGCTTATATTGTTACTTATGAGTTATTGCCAAAGTGCTGCTTCCTTTGATTTCCTCTTTTCTGAATCCAGAGGATGAGTACCATCATCATTTTATAGGCTTTAATGATATTTTAGTCTTTGTCTTCCTGGGCTGAAACATTCTAGTGTTGAAAGTCTTGCCCCATTCAAAAATACTCTTCAATGACAAATCCATTAGCTGTTTTTCTTTGACCTTGTCTGCACATGGTGTTTCGAGTACATACACAGTAGGGTTTGGTACAAGAGTAGAAAATTGTTTCTGATTTATCCAGTACTCTTCTAGATACTGCTCTATAACTTTTGGCACTTTGGGAGGAAGGTTGTAGCAAAACTCAAATAGTAAGAAATAGTAGGAGAGGCTTTTAAAAACTATTTAGAGAAAGTTAATTAGTGTTAATTTAGAATTATTTGACATTTAAAAAATTGTATTTATGCATTTATCTTACAGTATTAATCTCTTAAAACATGACATTTACTCTTTCATGCATTTAAGTTCAATTTAAAAAAAATATTTATTTAATAATGCTCTATTCAGTCTTATAAGTATTTACACCAATCGTTACCAAACATGGGTTTGAGAACAAGTCTGTGATATAGTTCACTGTTCCAAGGAGAAATAAGCAAACAAGGACTAAGTACTGATTTTTTTCCCATAAAGCTAAATTTATTCATCTTTAAAGGAATGCCTTTTATTCTAAGATTCTGTCAGATTATTGTTACTTTTATACATGTATTAAAAATACTTTCTTTGAGGACAACGTTGGGACAATTGGAAAAGTGTGAATAAGTACTGTAAATTAGAGAATAATATATATAAATGTAAACTTTCCTGAATTAGATGATGGCACCATGGCTATTCACAAGAAAGCCCTGGTGATCTGCTTCTGAAAGGTCACAGCTTTGAAAACCCTATGGAGCACAGTTCTATTCTGAAGCCCACGGGGTCACCATGAGTTGAACTGACTTGATGGCAACTGGTTTGGTTTTTGTTTTTTTGCAGTGGTTAAGAGCTATGGCTGCTAACCAAAAGGTCAGCAGTCTGAATCCACCAGCTGCTCCTTGGAAACCCCATGCGGCAGTTCTACTCTGTCCTGTAGGGTTGCTAGGAGTCAGAATTGACTAGACAGCAACAGGTTTGGGTTTTTTTTGGTTACATAGGAGAATATTTTTATTCTTAAGAAAATATGCCTCTAAATATTTAGGGGTGAAGAGCAATGATGTCTGCAACTTACTCTCAAATGTTTCACCAAAAATATGAATGTAATTGATGTATATAAACACAGAAAGAGCTAGAGAAGGATATGGCAAAATGTGAATCTCTAAGTGAAGGGTAGAAGAAAATTCACTGTACTATTTTACAACTTTTCTGTAGGCGTGACTTTTTTTTAAAAAAAAATATTTTATTGTACTTCAGGTGAAGGCTTACAGAACGAAAGGTTTCTCAAGAAACAGTAGTACACATGTTGTTTTATGACATTGGTTAACAACCCCACAACGTATTAACCCTCTAAATTCTCAACTTTTT